GGCACCTGGGTCCAGGAGGGACTCGGGCCCAGCAGCAAGTGGGACACCGGCCTGTAGCGGGCATTCTGGAGCTGGAAAAAGAGCTAATTTCCAGGAAACCAGCAGGAGGCACCGCAGGGGTGAGTCTCGCACTGTTACACTCCAGTAATTTGGTACAACGGCTGATTTAAATGATAGGTTGCAGAACTACAAACTGTGATATGTGATTTCATATCTGAGTACCTTCAAAACTCTTGGGTGAATACGATCTGGTCCTGGTGACCTATTACTTATTATTAGTTTGTTCCAAAACCTCCTCTATTGACCCCTCAATCTGAGATGGTTCCTCACATCTGTCACCTAAAAATCTACCTCACATCCTTTGCAGTGAAGACCAATGTAAAGAATTAATTAAGGCTATTGTAAAGAAGCTAAAGTGCTACTTTAGCACCGTGATTGTCTGGTGGCCCGACTGATTGTTTGGCAGCCTTTGTGCTTCTGATTTACTTTTAAAAAAAACTTTGCTGTTAATTTTTGTCTCTTTTATGAGTTGTTCTTCAAATTCTTTTTTGGCCACCCTAATTATACTTTTACACTTGATTTGTCAGAGTTCCTGCTCTTTTCTATTTTCATCACTAGGATTTGGCCTCCAATTTTTAAATTATGTCCTTTTGCCTCTAACCACCCCTTTTACTCTGTTATTAAGCCATGGTGGCATTTTCTTGGTGGTCTTACTATTTATTTATTTTTAAATAATTTGAGATATGCATTTAGTTTGAGCCTCTATTTTGGTGTTTTTAAAAAGTTTCCATGCTGCTTGCATCCATTTCACTTTTTTGACCCTTACTTCTAATTTCTGCTTAACTAACTTGCCTTTTTGAAATTAAATGCTACTAGAGGTGGGTTTCTTTGGCATTTTCCTTCTACTGCATGTCAAATTTAATTACTTTACGGTTGCTATTATCAAGCAGTTCAACTCTTGGACCAGATCCTGTACACTACTTGGAACTAAATCAAGAATTGCCTTTGCCCTTGTGGGTTCCAGGACTAACTGCTACAAGAAGCGGTCATAAATGGTGTCCAGAAATTTGATTGTGCATCCCGTCCTGAGTTGACATGTTCTGAGGTGATAAATACTCCCTTATTAGTGGGTTTCCTGTTTTGTAACCTCTCTAATCTCCCTGAGCATTTCACCATCACCATCCTGGTTAGGTGATTGATAGTATATTCCTACAGCTGTACTCTTATTATTCAAGCATGGAATTTCTATCCATAGAGATTCTATGGTACAGTTTTGATTAATTTAAGATTTTTACTTTATTGGACACTATATGCTTTCTTTCACATATAGTGTCATTTTGACTTAATATTAGTGGAAATCAGTAGGGATGATCTTAATCTCAGCCCAGTTAATTGAAAGAGATTTTGGGTAGACAAATTACAAAAGATAATAAAACTAAGATTAATTTGGAGAAAAGTGTACAATAAGGCAGTTCAGATCTTAAGGGAAAAAATGTATTTTCTGTATTATTTTAAGAGTTACATTTTTCACTATATTGTCAGTAAGCACTTGAGTGGACTGGGATTTTAAAGTTGCTTTTTTAATGCTATTTGGATCCTGACCCAAAGACCATTGAAGTCAATAGGACTCTTTTCATTGACTTCAGTGGGCTTTGAGTCAAGCCCTCTGTTTGGAAGATCTCCTAACTAGTGTCATCTTTAAGTGTTTTTTAAACCTGCAGCTTTCCTTGTTGTTTATGCTTTTTTTTTTTTTTTAAAAGAAGGGAGTCTCTTATTGGAATGAGATAACTGAATGTTCTGATCACATTGGGGCATGCTCGTTTCAAGTAAACAGTGTTTGCATATTTGCTGAATAGTGGTTTAAAATGCTGTGGCCGGGGTCCCAGAGAGCCACACTGGAGTTACCCAATTAGGGTGAACTGCAAAGAATGGGGCAAACGATCTGCAAAGCTGGTGGATATTCCAATACTTAGATTTACCAAGCCAGCACAAAACAGTTTCTCTAATACCTCACTGGTTACCCATAAGCCAACAACACAGTTCCCTAAAGCAACTCAGCCTTAGGCCTCTACCCAGACACCCAAGTCAAATATGATGATGATTACTGAAAATCTTATTATCATATAAGAAAGTTCTACCAATCCCAAAGGATCGGACACATTACTTCCCAGATTAATGAATATTCCAGATCTTACCCAAATGCTACAGCCAATTCTTATTAACTAAACTAAAATTTATTAAAAAAAGAAGAGAGAGAATATTGGTTAAAAGATCAGTATACATACAGACATGAGTACAGTTCTGAGATCAGATTCATAGTAGAGATGGTGAGCTTTGTAGTTGCAAAGAGTTCTTTCAGCATTAGTCCATAGGTTATAGTTCAGTGTTCATATTCAGGGTGATCCAGATAGGACTAGAGATCTCAGTTTTACAACTCAAGCTTCCCCTGTGTGAAGCATCAAGCAAATCTGAGATAAAAAGGATTAGGACCCAAGACATCTTTATGTAGTTCCAGGCCTTCTTTTGACAGCTCGGAGTCTTTAGGCGAACAATTGGCAATCATGGAGACTTTGAAGTAGACCTATTTCCTAAGCATCAAGGGTAATTAGCTAAAGGGATTAACATAAGGCAATTGCCTGTCTTCCACCATTCGCAGATTATTTGCTATACATTTCAGAGAGAGATGAATACAGTGATATCACTATGTTTACAGTTCATTTAAATGTTAATATTTCCTTTTGATCTCTGAATTAACAAAATACAGCATAGACTGGGACTGCTCGATTACATTGTTAACCTCTAACAATATATATGTAAACACACACAAACACAAACTGCTTAACCCTTTCTGGCCATGTGTCACAAATGCAAATAAATATTTTTAAATAGTCTGAAAAAGGGAAATAATGCTTTACTAAAATGTCTGAAATCTGAACTGCCATTTTCCGTTGTATTTTGCTGCTTTTTTTTTATTTTCTCATTTTCTGGTTTCCTTAGTTGAAAACCCAATTTTAATACCAACCTCACTCATATGAAAGTGCCTCTTTTAATCTATGAAGTACTGATGAACAAAGGAAGATATACCTATAATCTCGTGTTCTGCTAGGCTCTCAGATGTCAGTCCTGACAACTAGATTATTCAATTCCACACACGCCTCCCCTTCATCGCTAAACTTCCTGATCAAGCACTGCACAACCATTGCATTGACTTTCTTTCTCTCAACATCATAACAAAGGCATAACAAGAACCAATGGCTAGAAACTGGCACATTCATTAGAAGTTAGACACACATTTTTAACAGTGAGGGTGATTAACCCCCTGGAACAAACTACCAAGGGAAGTGGTTGATTCTTCATCTCTCAACACCTTCAGATGAAGACTTGATGCCTGTCTGGAAGTTATGTTTTAGACAAATATAAGTTAAGGGCTAAATACAAGAGTAACTGGGTGAAATGTAATTGCCTGTGAATATACAGGAGTTCAGACTAGCTGATCCAATGGTCCTTTCAGGCCTTAGATTCTATGAAACTTCATCTTAGATCCCTTCCAAACTGACTTCTGCTTTCTCTGCTACTTTAATTGCTCTCATTGAAGTCTTTAATGATCTTTTTCTGGCCATATTTCAGGGCCTCTACTCATCTTCATCTTCTCTGCTGCTTTTTGATGTTGTCAGCCGCCACCTTCTTCTTGACATTTGATGCTGATTGGGTTTTTGAGATAGTGTCCTCCCTTTCTCTTCTTCCCGCCTTTGATAGTTCTGTCCATATCTCTCTTGGTGGGTTCCTCCTCTCCTCTCTCTTGAGGTTTCCCCAATGCTCTGTCCTTGTCTCCTTGCCATTCTCACTTAATGTCCTGCCTCTAGATAATCTCACTAGCTCATATGGTTTCTGGTGTGATCTCTTAAAAATCTATTTCTCCACTGAATAACTGTCTCCTTAGATTGATTCCTGCATCTCATTTTATCTCTGGCATCTCCTCTTGGATGTCTTGTAACCAGTTTAAGCTGATGACGTGGTCAAAGGAGACTCCTAATCTTCCATTCCAAACCACCTACCTTCTTTCACTGTTGACACACCATGATTTCTGTCATCTCAGGGTTATTTTCTCTTCCCCTTTCCTTGTCCCACAAATCCAGTCCCTATATAAGTCCTGCTAATTCTTCCTCCCCAACAATTCAAATTCCATTGTTTTATTTGCATCACTACAGCCAAATCTCTCATTCTGGTCTTCATTATATTCTGCCTTAACAACTGCAATAGCCTCTCTCTGACCTTCCAAATGCACACTTTGTCCCCATCAAATCATACAAATTGCAGCTGCTAAAGTCCTTTTCCTTGTCATCAAGTTGATCATGCCACTCTCTTCTGTAAAGAGGCTACCCATCCACTCTTGCATCTAATTTAAGCTTCTTTGCACTAATTTTAAAGCTCTGATTCTGCCCCTTATTGAGCTTTGCAACACCGATCCCCTTGCTCCACTAGTATTCCCCTGCCATGTCCAGCTGTTTGTTAGCTTATCACACAATTGCCTCCATGTCCTCTCCCATGCAGCCCCATACATGGTACAACCTCCCTGAGCTCATCTGCAAAGCTCTACCCCATTCACATTAGAAGTCTCTCTTAAAGAGTCACTTCTACATGCTTCTTACAATGAATGGAGATTACTTTTATATAAAATGTTATTGTTTCCCTTACCCTAACCTCTGTTTGTTTGTCTATTTATTTATCCTTAGATTTTCCTTAGATCTCTTAAAATAGGGACTCATGCTTTCTTGAATATTTGGAAAGTACTTAGCATGTTATGGATACTACTGTAAAACAAATATTTGTGTGATTCTGAGATGCGGCTCTTTTGAGAAGACTAGAGAAATCACTATCATGTGCTAGAGTCTCACACACTTGACTGCAATAAAACAAAATTATATAATTTATATGTATTAAGATAACCTCCTCTCTGTAAGCAATGAAAACATCAGTTTCACTGTTTGTTTGTTTTTCAGCTAGAAGATGATATTGTGGCAAAACCTCAGTACATTCAGAAAATAAAAAACTTTGCTCTTGAACAGCCCTCTGATGAGTGGATGATTCTTGAATTCTCTCAGCTTGGATTTATTGGTAAGTGTTGCAGCTCCAGCAGGATCACTAGTGGTCAGCTCAAACTCAGAGGTGCACTACTAATGTAAATTTTACATGGAATTGTGTTTCAACTCCTGGAAAGGCTAATCCCTAATTCTCTAGGAAATGCTACAACCATGTCAGACTCCCAATCTATGTTCAGAGTCTCTCACTGTCCATGCTGCATGGCACTATCCTTATAGTGCAGGATCCTATCAACCCAAGCTCCAGTCACATTGTATTCATTTCCACAGTGAACAAGAGGTCCTACCATGTTCCCAGCGCCTATTTAACTGTCTACACACTTAACTGGACCCAGGAGTTAGCCCCTCCCTCCAAGCCTGACAATTTGCACAATAATTTGAGGTGTGGCAGGCTTCCAAAGATGCTTATTGGGATGGTTAGAGCCTTTATGTGCAATTATGTAACTTACTCAGTTGAGAGCTGGGAAACGTAGGTAGGAAGTGGTCCTAGGGGTTGTGGGGGTGCAGCTGCATAGCACCCCAAGGTGCAGAACATAGCTGCCCATCATCAGGCCCTAGATCGGAGCTTGGTGGAGATGGTGGACCTAGATACCTAAGCCAGTCCCAAAAGCCAGGAGATCAACAGAAGGCTTTACCTTGACAGAAAGTCCATCTGGGGAAGACCCTGACTGTACAAGGGCTCAAATCCCCAAAATCCCCATATTAAGATAAAAGCCTTTTGGGAAGCTGACGGACATGACTATAACTGAAAAGAGGTGACCACCTGCTGCCTGAGCCCTATGCAGCACTGGTGGTGAGTGTTCCCCTTTTACACATGTATACTTCAACATGCAAAAGGTTTCTATATGCCAGTTGATCGCATAGCAATTCCTAAAAATTCTAGATTAAAAATAAAATGCAGCCCCTTTGCAAATCTATTTTAAATTTTTCATAAAATTTTTGGAAGCTGTGTATCCTTGTTATGGCACAACAAGAATGATGCTCTAGAAGTAATTTTAAGTGGGTTAGATTGCCAAAATGTCAATGGGCCATATTCTGCCTTTGGATCCAATTGATTTCAAGTCAGTGGACTTTGACTCATTGTCAGTGGGAGCTATGCATACTCATCCAAAGGTAAAACTTGGCCCATTCGTTGTTAGTGCCCTTTGAGTTTGTGCATTAAGTCTGCTAAGTCATTATAAACTAGGAGATGTTTGTTTTGCTTTAATGACTATCTGACCACATGGTGACTAATCACAAAATATACATATTATGAGCAAACAACATGCTCAAGTTTAACAATCTAGACATACGAACAATGGGTAATTCAAAACTGATTTTGTTGCAACAAACATATTGAACTGCACCCTGCTCCTGAATGTTGTGCAGAGGAAGCAAACTTGTAGACAAATCTATGGTGTGGCCATACAGGAGGGAAATGTCTATGCAGGATGCTTCCCTGTTCCATTTAGCTGCCTTCAGCTATCCTGCAAAACAGGGAAATGAGACATTGCCTGGGGTTGGGAGTGAAGGTGGTGTAGGTTAAATGGATATGAGTCTTCAAACACACAGTTGCATCAGTTTTAACTAAATCAATTTAAGATTACATCTTTAGCTAAACTGGTTCAACTTTGGCTATGTCTATACTTATAGCGACATACACTGCACACTCCCCTAGCACGGGTATAGGTGGCAGCATCGATAGTGAGGCACTGCTTAGGTGAAGAGAGTTAAGACATGCCTGAACCTCAGGGTACGTACTCAACACTGTTCAATGCACTCCCAAGCCGTGCCTTCCATTGCCAGAGACTTTCCAGGGTAGGCAGCAGGGAGAGGCTCCAGCAGCAACCTGCAGCAGGTAATGGTTCCAGCAGTGGGGAGCTGCTGGAGTCTTTCCCTGCTGCCCCAGAGCCTTTTACTGTGGCATGCAGCTACATACGGCAGTGTGGACGCAGTCTGCTTTTCCCAGTGGATTGTAGCTACACATACACCACATGCTGCTGCCAGCAATGACAAGGCTGGAACATGTAGACCAGGCCTAACCCTGCAAGTGCTGTATTCCCATCTAGCATCAACCCCAACACTTAACAGTTTTAAAGGTGCTTAACTGCACCTGCAGTAGATACTAACAGATGTTTCATATGGGATTAGTAAACAGGACATGAATTGGTTTGGGGTTTTTGTTTGTTTGTTTAAATCATGCTCTTTCCTTGTTTAGACAAAATTGAAAGCCTGACCCCACTGATGGAAGGTTCCCTCACCATCAGAGGTTCCAATGAACATATTGAGGGAGATCACTGGAGGTTTTCAAAGGGAGGCTGAATAGCCATCTGTCTTGGATGGCTTAGACACAACAAATTCTGCATCTTGGCAGGGGGTTAAACTACATGACCTTTGCGGTCCCTTCTAATCCTTTGATTCTGTGATTCTAATGGTAAAACTTCAGTTAAATTCAGTAGGGTCTGGGTTCTACCCTATGTGTTTGGGTGCAGGAAGAAAACATGGGCTTCAGTGATCTGCATACAGGACTAAATATGACTGAAATGTGTGATTTCTTCTTTTATTTGTTTTCAGGAAAGTTGTTTAGAACTAAAGATTTACCACTCATAGTAGAATTCTTTTTAATGTTCTACAAAGATAAGCCCATAGACTGGCTTCTAGACCACTTACTCTGGGTTAAAGTATGCAGTCCAGAAAAGGATCCAGTAAGTGTTTCCGTATTTTATTACTACAAAATAAATTATATTATAAATCACAGTTAATGCATAATTCAGTTTCAAAAACAGAAAAGTACACATTCCATAAATGTGTTTTAGGGATTTTTAAACAGTTGTGGGGGATTGTACTGTAATGTGATTCAAAGTATAATTTAACTGAACTACTAGCTTGGACATCTTGTGTTAATAGTTTGTTTGATTTCACTCCATAATGAAGTAAGCATACACAACTATATTATTAACCAGTAAAAGCAATGCTTGCTGCTTAATATATGCTATGGCGACATAGGAATTAAAATGGCAAGAACAAAGATTAAAAGTAAACATCAAATATGAAATAGCTCCTTCTAAGAAACCTAATGAGGGAAAATGAGAATTTAGGTTCTAGTACATACAGATGGCTTGTGTGGGCAGACTTCTGCATTTACATGAAGCTCCACTGATTTTAATGGGGCTTCTTATAGGTTCAGGAGTTTGCTTGTGTAGTCAATTGCAGAATGAGAGCCTTATGTAGCATATTGTATTGAGACTTAGCATTTGATTTCATGGTATTTTCAGACTGCTAGGATACTTAAGGTAAAATTTATACATTACTAATCAATACCTTAGTTTATTAAAACAACCAGTTTTAAAATCTAATTTGTTTGAAACTGTTCATGCTATTTATCTTTTATATTTCCCGCTGTTTAGGAGTGGAAGACTGGTTTGTTTCTAGTCGGTTTCACTGTCTGGTCTCATGAGTTAGAAAAGGCTGTAGTATTTGTTTGCAAATAATGCAGGAAGGTGTTTAGAGCAAAACCAACCTAACCTACCTGTTTTAACTGAAATAAATAGTTCCAGGTTATTTTGGGAAAGGTGCCATTTCTGGAGTTCCAAATGTTTCCAATAGCATTTTAACTATGTGATTATCTTTAAAATAGTTCTATTTTTACACTCCTTTTTCACTTGTTTAGATGGCACTTGAGTGTCTCTAACTCCAGCACTTACACAGCCTCTGGTGCCTTTTGTCACCAACCATGGCCTTCTTAGATCTTGGGCTGGGCTAAGTGCTCATGAAATGGACTGCTGACTACACTACAGGGGCAACAAGAGGTTTCCCTCCCCCCTAGTTTTTAGAGTGCAGATGGCTTTACTTGAGGATAGGATAGTGACAGTTCTCACTCTGTGTTCTTTTTAAGTGCTTTGCGTGTGTATTATTTTTTGTTGGTATGGGTGGAAAATGACTTCATGCAAGAAAGATATGGGATGTGTAAACAGCTGAGTGAAAAGAGTTGAGCAAGTGGGTTTAAAAAGACTCATTATGATGACCTGCTGTAGGGAAGATGACCTTTGGGGATGGCAGAAGGTGGTTTGTTTTAAGCTCCACCAGTACAAAGAGGACTTAAAACTGCCTTAAGGAGGCAGCTGAGGATTTCCCCAGCATGGCATTTCACACTCCGCACTTAAGCATAGGAGGAACCAGGATCTCACTCCAGTAATCCTGGGCTGGCAACCCTGCAGCTCTAATTTATCCAGGGATTGAAGTGGCCCCAATCTGCCTCTGGTGCACAAACAGTGGGTGATGGCAAGATGTTATAATGTCACCTCTTCCCCCTCCATATTCCTCAGATGTGCTGAGCTCAGCTCCTAAGGACTGAGCCCTTTTTTTTCATTAAAAAAAAAAGTTGGTAGCCCTTAAGGTTGTGAATCATACATAAACCAGGAAGATAAAGCAGCACGTGTCTCTGCTTTTGTGTTTGCTTCAACTTGGCAAAAGTAGACTGACAAGAAGTTTCTAGTGAGTTTCACATCTGCTATTCAAAATTCTGTGGTAGCAGTGAAACTGTCAAGTCAAGTCAATTGCATGCAGCTGTTGCAAGAGGAATGAGCAGCAGCAGAGGGCAGCTATTTACAAGAATGCCAAAAACAGGAACTGGAGGAGGCGTACAATAGGACAGACAGCCTGTTCCCCCAGCAGCAGTTAATAAGCTGATATGAAAGATGGAAAGTAACTCTAACACCTTCCCTTTCCAAGCAACTGGAATTCTCACTAGTGTGTTGCCCCAGCCTATCCACCTCTGGTTTGGTATGTTTAATCATCTGGCCAATAGGTTAAGTACATGTTTCCATCCCTGGCAGTGTGTTTAAAGCCGTTGTAGAAGCAACCATATCTTTTCACTAAATGTTGGAGGAGTATAGTTGGCGAATGGGTGCAGCCGTCAGGTCCATGGGCACTTCAGGAACTTCATCAGATCTGCCTTTAAAAGTGAATGGATAGGTTCATATAATTTTATGGAAGTTCGGGTCCTTTGAGGATGAGTCAGTAGCTCTCTAAATTCCCACCCAAAAGTAGAAGAATTATCTAAAGGTGTGTGTTTGTGTACACTTCTGAATCTTGTAGACAGATGGAGCAGGGAATGGAGCATCATGTTGTGAACTTTCCTCTTACCATTATAACTCAGGTTATTATGGAAAGGAGGAAGCTGGCTGCAGCAACATGAAATTTGTTGATAAAGTAGATGCCAAAAGCATCATAGCAACATAAAGGATGCATGTTGCACTGAGGAGAAGACACAAAGCCTGTCTCATCACAGATGATATGCCCTCAATGTAAGGATAGCAATAAGTAAACTCACTGGAGTGGAGGGAGACTAATGGGGGCTGACATTTAAAAACAAGAACAAAAAACAGCCCAAATCACTCTGCAGTCCCCCAGAAAAAAATCTCAGGTAAATGGGATATCTAATCAAATTGATATTTAAATGTCACTGAGGCATATATAAATTAAGGTTACATTCACAGTGTGATTGGAACAAATGTTTTGGTTGTCTCCCACTTTCTTCCCCGGATCCTGAGGGTTGCAAGGATCTTAACTAGACTTCGGTACAAGTTAAAGTAGATTCACCATTCCTATAATGCAGTGGTTCTCAACTGGGAGTCTGTCATCTCCTGGAAGTCTGTGAGCCATTTTTTGGGGGGGGGGAGGGGAGTGGCCCTAAGCCCTGGTGCCCCCTGCAGGGCTGATGTCAGGAGCTGCAGAGCTGAAGCATGGAGCCCCGGTGTCCCCTGTGGGGCTTCTAGCTACCCCCACTACGTGAATCCTGAATTACCCTCTGCTTGCATATAGCTCCTAGCTACCCCCTGCCTGCACCCTGAGTGGTTTTCAAACTTTTTAAGCTGAGTCCTCCTCTTCGAGTTATAATTTTTGGTTGTACCTCTGCCCCCACAACCCAGACAGGCTGGGTGGCCTGCTGAGGTGTCAGGCGGTGGAGGTGGTATTCCCTCCCTGGGCCCTAGCATGTGGAGCTGGCCTGAGTCCTACCAGGCCCTGTCCCCCCGCCCCCAAATAGAAGTCAAACTATGCCTATGTCCAAAGGCCCCACCCCCACCCAGTGGCCAGAGCCCCAAGTCCTCTTTCCCCAACACACACACTCTGGCCCTGAATTTTTATAGCATGTTGTGGGGCGTGGGGGTCTGAAAGAAAAAGGTTGAGAACCCCTGCTGTAGTGTATCATGCTCGAACTTTGCACACCACACCCCCTAGGCTGGGACCCTACGCCTATTGAGGATTTCTCTATGATTGCAGTATCCTCATAAGTGGCTTTAAGGTGGTTAAGTCCCTTTTGCATTGCTGCAGTGACATAAAAAGGGACTTATTAGGGACCACGGTTCTGGTGTAGTATTTTGTAGTTACTGTGATTATGGTAAAATACTGATTCCACCAGCTGGGCCAATAATGTGTCACAATTGTATCTTTTTGTTTCAAAAGTGTACCACCCTTTTCTAAAGAAACAGCTGCCGGTGCACTGATTTGCATTCACTTCCTTTTTCTGGCATTGTTTTACTGAACATCTGCTTTAGACGCACATATAAAAACACTTTATTCTAGTTATATGCCCTCAGCTATTTTTGAGTATCTAATTAGTACTTCAATAAGAGCCATAAATCCCATTTGAGATTTTGCATTTGAGCTAGTTAGATGCAGCTTTTCCATCCCTTTTCACTTTAACTAGTACTGATAGAACTTATATAAAACCTTTCATCTATAGCGCTCAAAACACTTTACACAGTTGGTTAAATATTATCATGCCCATTTTAAAGATGTGGAAACTGGGATACAGGGAGATAAAGTGATTTACCAAGGTTGCACAGTGTTTCAGTGATGAGCTGAGAGTAGAACCCAGGGCTTCTGCCTGTAGTCTTGTGCTTTATTCTATTTAGGTCATGATGCTTCCTTATATTTATCATTATGACCTATTATATTTAGTGTCTCAAACTGCACTGCTGTTTACATCCAGAGCACAAATCACTTTTAGGGGAATATTCTCATATCTGAGAAAACAGACGGATGGAACAAGACATCGCAGAAATTCTTACTGAAAGGCAGTTACTTGCATTTCCCAGTTTATCAATTGTCCAAAGTTGTACCTAAATTAGAACAGTAAGATTTAAATCCAGTGCTTGAGAGCTCCATGTCATTCTCAGGATGATCCAGCATAATGTTGTAACAATTACCTGTATCAAACAACAGAGCCAGGAGTGGAAAAGTGACCAGGATCCACAACAAGGAGGTCAATGCAGATTATGGTCAGAGCAGTTTGGTAAAAGTAATATGATGAGCTCAAAAACTGAACTGAACTTTTTCAGGGAGAACCTGCAATAAGATACAGCTAAACTTGTGCTAGGATTACATTCCTCCACACTTCAGAGAGAAAATATAGATAGGAAAGTGGTCTTTAGTTGATTTCTCTTATTGTTATTTCTTTGACCAAAAAACCCCCAAACAAAACCTAATCACAGTCAAACATTCCGAGAGAATAGAGGCTTAAGTGAAGAATTCCAATTCTGCCTTCTGTGAATGGTCCTTACGGAGTCTCACTGAAGTCATTGGGATACTCCCTAAGGGATTACTTTTGTGAATCTGGATTGCAGGACAAGCTGTAGCTATAGCTATGTAATGAAATTGAATGACTGATGGTCGGACATATCCCTTTGTTGTTGAGGGGGGGAAATTCATACACATGCCCTTTTTTTATTTCCTTTCCAGAAACATTGTGAAGGGCAAAAGGCCTATTTGCGTATCCGTTCTAAGCCATCTCTCTTTCAGCATGTGGGAATTCATTCATCTTTGGCTGGGAAAATACAGAATTTAAAAGTAAGACTCTTACAAAATTTGCCACCATATTTCTAAATTATTTGTTTGAATTCTGACTTGTTTGCTTTTTGAACTGAAAAACATTGTGTATTTGGTGATAAATTTCATGTACCAGAAGAGAGAGATGAGAGGAACATATTAATTTGTAATCTGAACTGAGTGGGGGAAATACACTCACAGGACATATAAGGATATCTTCCCTGAGTCTGGGCCTTCAATTAATTAGTAGTAGTGGTACCATCATAGCGCCCAGGATCCCTAGCATGGACTAGGGCCCCATTGTACTAAGCAATGTACAGATACACCAAAAAGATAGTTCCTGTCCCAAAGTGCTTACAATCTAAATATAAAACAAGAGACAACAGAAGGCTACAGACAGATGGGGAAGTATAAGGAAACAGTGAGACAATATTGGTCAGCAGGATAAACAGTGGTCTCAGCACACCAGCAGCTTAACTGTTGTCCATTTTTTTTTGTAGGCATCACAGCAAAGGAAAGTTTTGAGGAGGGATGTGAAGGAGGATGAGGTAGCTTTGCAGATGTTTGAGGAGTGCCTCCTAACTGTGACAGGTGGCATGGGAGAAAGTAGAAAAGTCTTTGTTTGAAACTTTTACAAGTGGGAGGTGGAGATTGGCCTTAGGAGCTGAGCAGAGGCTGGAGTCACATCTCAATAGTGAATGGAAGATAGGTGGAGACTGACCATGAAGGGCATTGAAAGTGAAGACATGTATATTAGAGAGAGAGCAGGAAAACCCAGAGGCAGATTGAGTAGACGGGCTTCTTTATTGCCATACTTGTTCCCCTTGACCAATTGTCGAGTAAGCACTGAATTAGTTACAGCACACTCTTTTTATCGAAGTTAGTATGTGAATACCTACATTTACTACAACACCCCCAAAACCTTTATAGAGTAATATGAATGCCCATACAATGAATATTAATAGCTATATACTGAATATAATTGTCCTCGCCCGTTTACTGTTTACAGCACTAAGCATATTCTACAGACATTTTTACTTTGAAGAGACATTTCTTTGCAATAATTGCAGCCATGAATTCCCTTAATCAGCAGTTTGCAGGGAAGGGAGGAAGGGGCCATGGCCCCAAGCTCGTTTATTGTAGCTGGGAATGGAAGGGAGGGGGAGATAACACTGCTTTACACACAAAGTATCCTTTAGATCCCCACATCCCCATAAGCAGCTGCAATGCTTATCAATCCTTAACAAGCAGAAGGAGAGGGGAAAGGGTAGCAACTTTATCTATCAAGCAAAGAGACAGTGCGTACCTGCACCTACTCCCTATTACCAGGCTAGCAGTTACCCAGGTCTTTACTTAACCCTTACGTACCCCAACAATGTAGTTTGTCTCCCCTTTTATCACATAAAATATAGTGGAGGGGTTCAAAGATAAGGGTGATGTGGTCAAAGTGGCAGGATAGGAAAATTATAATTACAGTAGCATTTTGAATGGATATGAGTGGGATAAGGTTGCATTTACCAAGGGAAGAATGTTGCAGTAATCAGGATGTGAGATGAGAGCCTAGTGAGAATTTTCACTCTGTGGATGAATAAGAAAAAAACGTATCTTAGAGATATTATGCTGAAAGAATCTGCAAGATTTAGACATAGCCTGGATACGATGACCTAGAGAGAAGTCCAAGTCAAAGATAACTCCCAGCTTACTGGACTGAGTGGCGGGCAGAATGGTGGTGTTGTCCACAATGATCGAGAAAGGAGGTAGAGTGGTAGGCTTGGTAGGAGATGGGGAGGGGAGAGAAGAGTTTCTGTTTTAGCTATGTTGAATTTGAGCTGATGTCTAGACATCCATGAGGAGATGTCAGTGAGACAAGCTGAGATTTTAGTTTGGACAGGAGGAGATGGGTCTGGAGTAGAGAGGTAGACCTGAGAGTCATCAGCGTAGAGATGGCAGTTGAATTTGTGTTTGCAGATGAGACTACCTAGAGATAAGATGTAAAGGGAGAAGAGAAGGGTACCAAGGACCCACTCTGGAGCCCCCACAGAAAGTTGGAGGGGGAACATAGCAGGTCTTCCAAAGGACACAAGAAGTGATTAGAGAGGTAGGAGAACAAGGAGAGGACAGTCACGAAAGCCAAGGGAGGACAATATTTCAAGAAGAGCATGGTCAGTTGTGCTGAAGGCAGCTGAAAGGTCAAGGAAAGTGAGGATGGAGTACTGGTCCTGAGCTTCGGCTAGGAAGAGGTCATAAGAGACTTTAGTGAGACCTGTTTCAGAAGAGTGCAAGGGGTGGAAGCTGAAATAGAGAGGGTCTAGGGTGGACTTTGGGAAGAGGAACTCCTGACAGTAATTGCATACATTGCATTTATGATTTAATGAGCTTGGAGATGAAAGGGAGATGAGATATTTGGAGAGGCACCTGAGGTCAAGAGTGGGTTTTTCAATTACAGTGTCCTACTGTAAACAGAGGCTCCTCTGCTTAAACTGTAGGGGAAACACCTTCCCAAGGATGCCTCATTTATTAGGTTTAGATCATCTCAGATCCACAGTAGTCAGATGCGAATACAGTCTCAAGAGACTCTGGGAGGGCTACATAAACAATGTAAATAATACGAACTAGCATAGGGCTTGATTTCTAGTCTACCCACAAGATTCTCCTGAGGTTCCTGAGGAAATGGAGAGATTCCTTCTTGTAGCCTTTCCTCCTTAGATACGGTCCTTTCCTTATACTCCCCTCTATTAGTAATGCAGCACAGGTCTGTATTGCCTGTGGCATACCTCCTCCCAAAAAGCAGTTGTCCTCACCATGTAAGAGCACTTAAGTACAAGACTTCAGGAGTTCAGTTAGTGCTGTATTCTTACATAAAAATCACCATATTGTATCAGACTAATGGTTCATGTAGTCCACTTGTTTCTGACAGTGGCCTATACCAGATGTTACAGAAGAGGGTGTAATGGGCAATTATGGAACAGCCGGCCCATCAGAAAAGCTTCTACATCATTTAGGAAATGATCGATAAAGTTCATAGTTACACAACTTATTGTTGAGTTTTAGTGGTTTCACTGAAGGAGCTCCCATAAATATGGGATGCAACATTTAAAACCTATATTTAATCATTTTATATGAAAATAGTTCAGATAATGACTCTTCATTTTCTGTAACAGCCCTCTGTGATCCAAGATATTTGAACACTGAATTATGAGTCTTTATATGTGGTATTGTATCTCTTTGTGTCTAACAGGATAAAGATTTTGGCAAAAACATGCTACATAAAGCACATGTTAACCCCCCTGCAAAAGTGACTACTAGCCTAAGAATATTCCAGCATTATACTTTGGAAAAGGCTTATGAAGGAATGGACTGTTTTTGGGCTTTTTCTCCAGTGGCTGGAGATTATATCTTATTCACTTTTTTACAGCCATTGAAAGTAGAAGGGTGAGTGCTAATGATATGGTAGGATACTTATACCCAGTTTTGAATCCTGTCAAGATTACCAATTCTCTATTGTTTGAATATCCACAAACTGCCAATTTAAATAAGTGTAATAAGTCTGCTATGCCCCTTTCCTCTTTTTTAACGCTTTCCCTGAAACACACTTCTTCCTTAAAAGCTTTTGAATTCTAGACTTCTCCTCACACGCATGAAAATTAAATACTTAACAAAGAAAGAAAAAAATCAATGTAAACCCTATGGTGAAAACAATGAAAAGCAACTGAGTGGTGACACTGTTATGCTTATAGAAGCATACGGGATTTTTTTCAGAGGAAAAGGCAATATGCCGCATTTATTGGCGATACAACAATTAGCATATGCATTTACTCACTCTCTCTCTCTCTTTCTCTTCCCCCCCATCCCCGCCAGTCGATGTTATAGTTAACAGTCCAGAGTCCGGATCAATCTAGTGGCCAGCTAGGTTGATCACGGATAGAGAGGAGCCAGGTTCTATCAGACATGACATGATGCTATGGGGAAGTCTTGGCAGGACAAACCCAAAGTTTGAACAGGAACATCAAATTGAAATACAGGAGAAAACAATCATTGCATTCTTTTACTTATTTCAAAATGCTAAACCTACAACAAAGTGGTGACCCTAAAGGTCTGTTACAGACTTGAAATCAGCTTCAGACACAAGATTCTGGCTGATGCATCTTTACCAATGGCCCATTAGGCCATTCCTTTCTGCTTTCAGAAAGGGCGGCCGGCAGGATATGGTCAAATCCTACATCAATACATTTAATGCATGCTACATTATTATTCTTTATCTTTTATTCTAAATTATATAGAATACAAACATAAAATCCTACTACTACAACACATCTTGGCATTTCTCAAGTTTTTGTATTAATTTTTGTTGCTTTGTTTAACGCTTCCCCCTATTATTTAGTTTATACTTCTTTGTGAGGAAGGCTAGAATTCATATGTCTTAAGGAAGAAATGTTTTAGGGAAGCACTTAGAGGAGGGGGGTGAGAGCCTGGGCAAGGACCTTGTGTCTGCTTCTGAATTTACATTAGTGTAAATCATTGAATTGAATGTAGCTGCAACAACATAACACTAGTGTGAGATCAGAATCAAGCCTCTTGTATTTTGTCTGACTTGTAAACATTTCTAATATATTTTATGCTACATACTCATATTTTACAATATATGGTTGTGCATTTCCAATAAATACCACATATTTAAGTTTCTTAAAGTACCAATTTTATAACTTTTAAAACAGAGTTTTAGTGGTGAAATGCAGTTTGGCCTAAGAGCATAGTTTCTCCCAACACTGGAGTGCATTGGCGGGGCTTTCCTGTGTTGCCAGGAATGCCTACAGCGATGTGAATATAAATTAAAATTGGACAAGGTCTGCTTTAACTTATACCATCCCACTAGTCACTTTGTGGCAGCTTGCACCATTTTTTAATTGGACTGAGGAGGTGTTGGTTGGAGAACAGAGCAGTGGGCAAGGGATTTTTCTAACTCTGCAGGAGGGCCAGGACAGGTGTTCCTGTTCCGTGTGTCTCCTATGTGCAGGTGGGAAGTTCTTCTTTTGCAGATATTAGGAAATGATCTTCCAAAGAGTCAGGAGATCATGAAAACAGGCTCGAGGAATGGGTTCCCACTTACAATTAGATCCTTGTTGAATTACTTAATTAGCTGAGCTACAGTCCTGCCCTTTGAATGAAAAAACAGGAATTGTCATAGCAGATCAAACCAGCGGTCCCTCTAATCCAATATGCTGTTCCGGAGTGTGGCCATTTCCAGATGCATCTTTAGAGGAAGGTGCAAGAAAGCACATAGCAGACAACTATGGAATAACCTATTTACAGGGAGAGATTTTTCCTAGCCCCTTAAATTAGTAGTTGGCTTTTGCCCTAAAACAAGAGGATTTATATACCTAAACTTTTTAATTTATTTAATGTAATTGTGGATGTTCTCATTATCCATATAAATGTAAAATTTTTCTAATCCTAGTAAGTTCTTGGCATTGATATCTTTCGGTGGGGAGGGATAGCTCAGTGGCCTGCTAAACCCAGGGTTGTGAGTTCAATCCTTGAGGGGGCCACTTAGGGATCTGGGGCAAAATCAGTACTTGGTCCTGCTAGTGAGGGCAGGGGGCTGGACTCAGTGACCTTTCGGGGTCCCTTCCAGTTCTATGAGATAGGTATATCTCCAAAAATAAAAAAAAGACAGTGAGCTCCACAGGTTAACTGTGTTATGTAAAAAATTATTTTGTTTTATCATGCTTAAATATGTTGTCTTTCAATTTAGTTAAATGTACTCTTGTTTGTGTATTATGAGAAGGGGTAAACAGAAGTTCCTAACTTTTGTTCTCTATATCGTTAATTATTTTGCATATGTCCATCCTGTCTCCTTTGACAAATAATGTTTTCTCTCTTGGCTTCCCACAAAAAGACACTCCGCAAAAATACATTGTGAAATGCATTCTCCATCACAAAAAATGTACATTAAATCATTTAAACCACTAGATTTGTAAAATGTATTTTACAACAAATTAATGTAATGAAAAAATACTGTTGCCTCTCTGGTGTCTTGTGGGTCAGTTCCACGCTGGATGAGAAATTGGTAACCTGGGTGCCAGAGCTGGATATTTTCTTAGTGCAGCTTGGGTATTTTGCACTATGTACACCATACTTGAAGAGAGGCAGCCTGAATATTGTTTGCCTATCTCATCTTTCAGGGATCTTCACCAAAACCCCCATGCCACACTCCTAGGGAGTACCTCTGCCTCAAGAACAGACTCAAGTTAGGGAGAATATGGCAGGGAGGAAACTGCTTTGCAGCATCACAAAAAACAACAATCCAAACATTTATTCAAAGTTTTTACACTGCTTATACACTCAGAAAAAGAATTTACAAGATCATGTGTAATATGCCCATCAGGTGACCCCACCATAACAATATTGTAACAAATATTGCAGCATAGAAACTGCTATGACTCACAATGTTCATAATTCAATAGCTTACATGTTAATAAACTTAAATAGTCCATATCTTCCATTTTCCCAATGTGGGGTCTAAACAGGAAGAAGGTGGCGTCTGCACAACATTGCCTTTTCTAGCTGATGCCCCCCTACTCTAGTACTGCTAACTGGTGAGATTTTTATTGTCAACCTTATATTTGGAGTTTTTCTTAATGCCTCAGCTGCAGGATTCATGTGAAAGTGAGAATCTCAGGTTTCATTTAAAAAAAAAAATCTTTTATGAGCCTGAATGGTTGCAAAGAAAGGATTATAAGCAGGCTCCAAGGCCAGAAGGCAAATGAAAAGAATCCAAAAAGTATTTTTTTTAATCTCATGAGGGGTTTTTTTGGGCCTAATTCGTGATTTTTGAATGCTTGAAGTTGGCAATACTGTCACTCATTGGCCAATATTGGAGCTTCTTAGAAACACTTGACTTAGCCCTCCATGAATAACTGAGGGCTGCCATTGGCATATGGGTACCACAATAAGAGGTGCTAGTTGGACACCCTGTCATCAAGCAAGTTTCATAAGAATTAAGAGACAGCCTACTTTCTGTACCTAAAAATGCTGGATTCGCAAGGAGGTCCACACTCTTCTAGCAAGACTTGGGGATGATCCTTATGCAGCTATCTGCATGGGTGCTGCAGGCCTCAGCTAGGCTTTGGAATGATATGGGACCATTGGGGTCTGTGTGTAAGGGTTGGTGAAGCTTGAAATGGGTTAGATTGATTGGGATTTGAGGGGAGAAAGGTTAGTGACAATTCGGCATGGTTGTTGCTTTCCCCTTTCACTGTTTCCAGAACAGGTTGTCTTTTGGGGATATATTGTTTGAAATTTAAAGGTTTTAATACCGTTTGGCCAACTGGCTGCAAATGTTAATGTAGGTCTCTGGCTTCTCTGACATGCTATTTGCGATAGAGAACATATATTTAAAGTTTTACTTCAGAAATGATTCTTGAACTATTCATCTAGAATTTTCTACAGTACAAAAATATACAGAAATAATATAGTTCTCATTGGCAGGTACCTCTTTAGAAGTGGAAACATGGAACACCCTGGTGATAAACTGTTTAATACTACTGTAGAAGTTTGGCCTGCTGCTGTAAGTGTCTCATTTCCCACTGCAATACCCAATACTACTCATTTTATGAGTGAAGGTTGGAAAAAATATAGTTTATAAAACCTGGTTGGGACTTCTACTCTTTTGTTTTGTTACAGGAAACAGATTTATTAAAAGATGCAGTAGGCCATGGAGACAAAGTTAACTACCAAACAACCAAAGATGGATATTTAAAGATAGGTAAACTACTTATCACTTCAAAGACTGAAACAGTTTTCTTGTATATAAACACTATTTAAAAAAACAACAACCCATACACTTGAAAGCACCATTAGTTCTATAAGAAACTCAGAATTTCAAAGTCAACTAGTAATCAAAGAATACATTTTGAACTTCTGCATGTTGCAGTATGTGGTTTGGTTACTTAAAATTCAATATGGCAGAGTAATGAAAACAGACTTTAGTAAAGTCCTACCTGTGTAGTCAAGTGGTTAGGCTATTGGGCTAGCTTGTGGTCACTGTGGGTTCAAATCCTTTCTTGGGGGGGAGGGATAGCTCAGTGGTTTGAGCATTGGCCTGCTAAACCCAGGGTTGT